GTTATTTCTATCCTGTCATCATCATCATTATTATTATTACTAGTATTCATGGAACACTTTAAGGTTTGGAAAGCACTTTACAAATATTATCTCATTTGATCCTCACAACCCTTGAAGGTAGGTGGTATTATTACACCCATTTTACAGGAGAGGAAATTGAGACACAGAGGTTAAGTGACTTGCCCAGGTTCACAGATCCCTTGGATCTGGAAGATGTATAATGCCTGGGGTCCTACACATACAGGGCCCACAAAACTACCACAGATTTGAGGCAATTAAGGGGTCAACATTGTTCTCTCCAGCTGCCTCACTGAACAAACAGACCGGAGACTATACCCTAGAGGATTTAACTCTTTGAGTTCCAGGACTCCAGTTGTATATGCCTCTCTTGTAGTGGATGGAATCATCAGTAAACCAAGGCAAAATGACATTCCCCAGGAGCCAGGTCCTTATAGGTGGGGACCCATTGAACTAGTGGAGAAGGAATGGTTTTAAGGCCTTGACTGGAGGCCTCAGACTGTGGAAGAGATGCCACTTCATTTGTGAAAGACATCAACACTGGAGAAACCCAAACAAGCATGAGTTTGAATATACCACTTCCACTTAGCAATATAATCCTCATGTTCCCTACCCTTTTTGTTACAGCGATCATTTTACATCACAAGTCTGAACAAAGGGTGATTGTTATGACCCTGTATCATCTGTTCAATAGTAACTAGGGCCTAGGAACTAGCAAGCAACTGCTTTTTTAAATATATATATATATATATATATGTATATATATATATATATGTATATATATACACACACACACACACACACACACACACACATATATGCATGTGTATATGTGTGCATGTATTTTCAATCAGCAAAAATCGGCATTTTCTCCCTCTCATCTCAAACCCCAGCTCCCTCCCCTCAAATGAGAATGAAGGAAAAACAGAAATCCTGCTATAGAAATATATGATAAAGCAAAATAAGTGTCTGCACTGACCATGTCCAAAGATATATCTTATTCTTCACTGTGAGTCTTTCACTTCTATTTCAGGAGGTGGGCAGTATGTTTCATCATTAATTCTCTAGAATTGCTATTGGTCATTACCCTGATTGTTTCCAATTCTTTTAAAGTTACTGTTGTCATTGTGTAAATTGTTCTCCTGTTCTCTATTCCCTACACTCTCCATTGGTTCATATAAAGCCCTCCTAGGTTTTCCTGAAATCATTCCCTTCATCATTTCTTATAGTATTATAGTATTCTACCACATTTATATACCATTATTTGTTCAGCCATTATCCAATTTATGGGTACCCCCTCAGATTCCCATTCTTTGCCTAATCCTTCCCTTAATCTCTCCCCTCCAATTTCCGCTTTTCCTCTTTCCCTTCTATTTTCCTGTTAGGTGAGATGTATTTTTGTACCCAACTTGATATGTATATCCTTCCCTTCTTTGACCAGTTTAGAAGTGAAGTTCAAGTGTAACTTGCTTCCCTCTTCCCCCTTCTCTTTTTTCTTATAAATGTCTACTTGTACACCTTGATTATGTGAGATTTTTTTTTCTAACCTTCTTTTCCCTTCTTTGTCCACTCCCTTCCCCTCTTCTCTTAAGTCATTAAGACATAACAAGACCATTCCCAGGCCTTCTGTACCATTAGACTCCCTCAGTGACTTCTGATGATGATAGGGTTCAGTGGGGACACATGTATCATCTCCCACATTAGAATTCGAGCAGTTTATTTTTGTCTAGTTCTTTATCATTGTTTATTCATGTTTATATTTTTATATTTCTCTTCATTCCTGTTTTTGAACTTCAAAGTTTCCATACAATTCTTATCTTTTCATCAGAAATGTTTGGAAATTCTCTATTTCATTAAAGTTCTATTTCCCAACCCCTAAACAATTATATTCAGTTTTGCTGGGTTAGTTACTCTTGGCTATAAGCCTATATCCTTTGCTTACCATATTCTAAGCTCTCTGCTTCTTTATAGTGATGGTTGATAAATTGTGGGTGATCCTGACTGTGGTTCTATGGTCATTGAATTCTTTCTTTCTGGCTGCTTTGAGTATCTTTTTTTCTTTGACCTGGAAGCTCTAGATTTTGTTCATAATGCTCCTGGGAGTTTTCAGTTTTAGGTTTCTTTTCCGGAGATTACCAACAGATTCTTTCAGTTTCTGTTTTGTCCTCTGATATGAGATTTGGGAGGTTTTAAGATTTTTTGAAATATGATGTCTAGGCTCTTATTTTGATCCTTCCCTGGCTACCACTTGTCAATTTATATGTGTCAGCTCCCTGTTATAATATGAACTCCTGGATGGCAGGAACCATTTTTGCTTTTTATACTTGTATTCTCAACTCTTAGTACAGTGTTTGACACATAAGAAGCACTTAGTAAATGCTTTTTTCATTTATTCATTCTTTCTTTCTATGTCCCTTTTTCTCTACCCGCACAGTCACCATTCTCATTCAGGCCCTCATCCCTTCCTGCAATTGTCTGTCTCTCACCATTCACACATTTGTCAAACTAATATTCCTGAAAGAATAAAACTTTGAGTTTCTCCAGCCGACATCTTCCCATTTCCATTCAGCAGTAAAAGTAATGGGGGTTGGAGGATGGGTCACAGCTTCAGACCTGGTCCAAACCCAGATGAGGAAAGGGAAGCCCACCCAGAGCTCACAATCAGACATGGCTAGCAAGTGGCGTGGAGCCAGAATTTGAAGCTATTCTTAAGCCCCCATTTAAAAAACCACAGTAGACTCCTCTGTTTGGCACTTAAGGCTTTTAATGATCCGGCTCCAAACTGTTTTTCCAGACTGATATCACCTCATTCCACCTTCATGAACTCTCTGTTTCAACCAAACTATGATGTTTGCCATCTCCCATAAACAACATTCCACCACAGCCGGGCTTCATCTCTCACAACCTAGTTCCAACCTACCTCTGCAGCTTTATTATATGTAAAATCCTTGAGGACAGACTTACATTTTTATCTTTGTACTTTGCCCAGCACACAGTACATGCTTAGTTAAATGGCCGTTGAAGTAATGAATGGGTGAAAACCTTACCAACATGAAGCACAGAACTTCTTTGCCATTGAGTAGAAGAATGATATAAGCAAAATGGCAAATTAATTGATGTAGAGGCTTAATAAATGTGTTTTTGACTGATTTCTGAGTTGTCAAAGCAAAGATTTTATCAAGTGACTTTGTGCAAGACACTTAACCTACCTGTGTGAAGAAATTTTAGTTTCTGCATCTGTAAAATGAGGGAGTTTGAGAAAAGGATCTCTGGGGTTCCTTCCAATTCTAGATATGTTATGGTCCCTCTGATCACTAGAGACCACACTGATGGTGATTCTGTCCCAAATTAGCTAAGATTAACACTGGATAGCACAAGTTCTGACTGGGTTCCGATACCGGCTCTACTCTTTACTTCCTGTCCAGCTGTGGACAAGTCACTTAACCCATGAACTTTAGTTTCCTCATCCGTAAAATGAGGAGGTTGTACTAGATAACCACTATGGTTCTTTCCACTTCTAACTCTATGACCCTATCATCCTTCCTCAGACTTCTAACTCTTTGCCTGGATCTCTCCTTTGCACTTACCTCACTCTCCCTTGTATCAAAATTATTTCTGTATTTGTCTTTGCCTGTACTTGTGTCTGTTGAATTATAAACTCCTTAAGACTAGGGTTTATGTCTTATCTATCCTATCTCCAGTGGCTGGCACACTGTTGTTGTTTTTGCACATGGTAGGCACTTAATACATACTTGTTGAAATGAAGTAATGTGGATCACTAAATTGGGAGTCAGTAACACTTGAGTTCAAATCCAGACTCAGACTCTTGCTGGTTGTGACTATTTGTCTCAGTTTTCTCATATATAAAATGGGGATAATAGCACCTACTTCCCAGGGTTGTTGTGAGAATTAAAGATACTAGCCATTTGTTGGCTATTATTGTTGTGAGGAAAGCACAGTGGAAACCTTTCATCTTTATAGATACACAAGTTATCATTATTATTATTATTGGAGGGGATTTCTGTTCAGATACAGGTTGAGCTAATTGACCTCTAAGGTCCCTTCCAACTCTGAGATTCTATGACTCTGTGACTCTGTGAGCCTCAATTTGTTTAGCTGTAAAATGGTTATAATAACACTTTCACTGCCTGCCTCAAAGGACTATGCTTTACTATACAAGTTACAATTGTCAAGGTTTTCTAGTGAGCATCACATACGTATCAGCTGAGGACAGTAGGGAGTTCCACAATCTTCTCTCAGGGCTTAAATAGTAAGCAAAAAGATTCTCTTCTCTCGGCATGCTAAAGACGTTTGTTTATCCTTTCTCTTGTGCGCTTAAGAAATGGCTAATTGTCCTGAGAAAACCCTATTACCTATGTTAAGCTCTGGTTCCCATGATGGCAAGAAGTTTTTGGGAAAGTGGGAGGAAAGAAGGAAATGAAAAAGGGCTTGAGGAGTTTCTGGCCCTTGTGAGAATAATTTGGGTCATGGCAAAAATAAGCAACGGTACATACATTTTGACAAAGGGCGATGCACAGGGAAATAAAACCTGGGGTTCCTCCAGCCGACATCTGCCCGTTTCCATTCAGCACTAAAGGTAATGGGGTTGGAGGATGGGTCACAGCTTGAGAGCTGATCCAAGCCCAGATGAGGAAAAGGAAGCCCAGAGAAGCTCACAATCACACACAGCTAGCAAGTGGCACAGCGCCAGAATTTGAGGCCATATCCTGACTTCAGAGCCTACTGTGGCAAGCGAGCTGTCGCTGTCTTTTCTATTTACGCACCGTAACTTTCTAACATGTCAAAGTGCACGCGGCACCCATCTTTAGTCTCACAGGGCGCCGGGACCAAGTACCGCTAGTTCTAACCTTCAGAGGACCCAGCCCGGTTGGCTAAGCCCTTTCGGCTTCCAGGTCCGCCCTCCGCCCCTTCGCCCTCCTGCTCCGGCTCTGGCACGGCTCCAGGTAGGACTGGTGCGCCTGCGCTCCTCTTTCCCAGGGAGGCGGAGCTGGGGAGCAGGTTAAGTAAGACGGTGGCTGGGTCCCTCGTCCTGGTTCTGTCCGCCCCGCTCCTTGCTTTCCTCCTGCAGCAGGGATGGCTGCCACTGCTCTGAACGTCAAGTACTCGGGGCGAGCTGGGGGAACCTCCACAGCCCGCCTCCAGATCCTGCTTGGACACCTCCAGGGCTCTGCGGCCCCGGCTATCGTATCCTTCCAAAGGTCGCTGCGCGCGCCGGCGCCCAGGGCCCGGGCCGAGCCTGGAGCCCGAGCAAGGCTGCTTAGGTGCGCGCACTGGCACAGAGAGGATAGAAGCGATGGCAGCTCGGGCCGCATCCGCTTCTTTCCCCTTCTTCCCCCGGCATCTGTGCTTAAACCCAGGAGCCTCTTTCACTGACGTTCCAGAGGGCAAGGGATGGTTAATTCGCGGCCAGTGCTCTTCCCCTTTTCACACTCTGCCCTCCTGCCCGGGTTTGTTTATCTTGTGGCTAATGGTTTAAGAATTGTTTAGGCCACCAGGCCATTGGGTGCTGTGAAGGGCCGCTTGACGACCTCCTTCCTGCTCCACTGGTCTCTTCTGACTGACTCTCTTACTCTTGACCTCCTGGACCGTTTTGTTTTCCTCGTGCTAGATCTTTCTCTGTATTCTTTTGCTCCGCCTTATATGACAGAGGTCCTGTAGGCCCCTCTGCCCCTAGGCTTAGAAGCAGTCGTTGTAATTGGATTGGTCCATAGCTTTTTTTGGACTCAGTCACTTCATCTGTTGGTACTTTTGCTAATTTCCCTTCCTGGTTGGCTGAAGCCCTAAGAATGTCATAAATGGTTTATATTTTTGATGGTCAGAGGAGTGAGCATCTGACCCCAAACTGAATGGTTCCTTGGAGGTTCCCAGGTTAGAGGGCACCAAGATTACGAATGTGATCTCAGATTCTGTCAGCTCAAGGGCTAAAAAAATCCCTGACAGTCTTGAGTCCTTTTGTTGATTTTTTTAGATGGTTCTCTATACCCTTTCCAAGGTATCTTCTCTAGGAAATTGAGGCCCAAAGTAGTGTAATGACTTGTGTAAAGTCATGCAGTCTTAAAGATTGTATTTCCCTCCTGGATATCTCAAGTTGAAGGTTTTGCCTTAGCAATTTTTTAAGGCAGTGTATATACTTCACTAGTTTCCACTGGCTCTTTCTGTGTAATATTTAAGAAATATTATTTCACAGTAAAAGAGAAATTACCCACTTAAAATCATCTTTTTCTCTATTATCAATAGTGAAAATTTGAGCTGGAAGGAATAAATGGAAGGTTTCCCCAGATGTCTGGGTCACTTAATTTCCAGGATCCTCAGTTTACTCATCTGTAAGATGAGGGTTTGAAATAGTTGGCCCTGAGGGCCCTTCCCACTCTAGGTCTATGATCTTAAGAGCAGATGACTTCTAAGGTTCCTTCCAAAGCTGAGATTCTATGGTTCTGTGATTATTTTGCCAGATCATGTCACTAGTATTGAGGGCATGCTTTGGCAAGTCTGATTAATAACTCTGCCTGGGTTTTTGTTTTGATCTAGGAAAAATCCCACTACCTAACCAGTGCTTTCTTCTATATTCTGTATTCTGAGCTTCGCTTTCACATTCTGGTTTACTTTACCTCCTTTCCTCTCTTTGCTTTGATAGCTCCTCATTCTTCCACTTCTTCAACATGAGTGTCTGTGCCCCAATTTCTGTCTGTAGCTCTATTCTCTATTCTTGTTCATAGGTTTGTAGATCTAGAACTGAAAGGAGCCATAGCTGCTGCATCCTGTATTTTACAATGAGGAACGTTGGCCCAAGATGATTAAACTACTTGTCATGAAGGCAATAGGCATCAGAAGCAGCTTCTCTGACTCCAGAGTCAATGCCCTTTCTATTGTAGCATGCTGATCTCACCTATCCATGGACAACTATCAAATCAATACTTCTATCCCACTTCTTCCCAGAACTCCCATTGTGTATTGCTTTCAGATTGTCCTGCTGCCACCTCACCTTCAGCTTGTTCAAAACTGAATTCATTATCTACTACAAGAAACCTGTCCCTCTAACTTCTCCATTTTTGTTGAAGTCCTCTTGGTCACCCCGCTTCATAACTATATAGTTATGGTTGACTCCATTCTTTCCTTCAGCTACATAAACAGTCACCACAACTTGTCATGTTATCTCCAAGGTGTCTTCGTCTATCCTTTCCTCTTTTATACTTCACTGCATCCTTTCTAATTCAGGACCCCATCTCTTCTTGACTGAAGTATTAGAATAACTTCCTACGTAGTCTTTGTGTTTCCAGTCTTCCTCCCTGACAATCTAGCCTTCGCACTACTGCCCAAGTAATCTTCCTTATGCACCAAGATGGTCACGTCACTTCCCTTACTCAAAGACCTGTGATGGCTCCCCATTACCTGCCAAATAAAGTATAAACTCCTAATCCTGACATTCGAGGCTATTCACTGTCTAATTTCAACCTATTTTATAGCTGAGCAGTGCATGTTTCACCTCTTTAGGTATCCCCCTTACTTAGCACACTACCTTGAACTCAGTAGGCACTTAATAAATGATTGAATTGAATTTGTTGAAGGAGTTATTTAATGCAGATAACTTTGTAAGACTTAATATATAGACTGCCTTCATAAAGTTATTTAGTGATTCAGTCATAAAGCTGGAAATAGAACCTTGTTAACTAATGCTTCCCTTCCAGCTAGATTGTGTTCTGGGATTCAGTGTTTATCTTTCTCTCATTTACTTTTTATTTTTTCAGACCCTGCCTGATTACTTCCAATTTTTTTTTCTCTAGACTCCTACTAAATTGGATACCAAATTTAGAGAGTGTTTATGTCTCCTCATATGTAAACATTTGGAACTTTGGAAAGGCCATTATATTCTTCAGGTTATTCAAAATTAGATTAGATAATGTGGACTGGAAACAATCTTTCTGTGTTCAACCCAAGGCCAGGCTGAAGAGGCAGTGTATGATGTAGGAGAATGAATATGGTGTAACTGGAGGCCAGAAGATCTACTTTGAACTCTCTGTGTGACTTAGTTTCATTCAGTTCACATTTCTTGGCCTTAGAGCCTTCATCAGTTAAACAACTAGTGTAGACTAGAATGTCAGAGGTTCTTTATCTAGCATTGATGAACTTGTTTTTTTAAAAATATTTTAACTGTACTTTTGTAGCATTAGTTTCCTTTATAGTCCTATGTATTCTATTTTATGCATTTTTTCTATTTTATTATTTTCTATTTATTATTCTGCTATTTTCTATTTATCCTATTTTATGCATTTGAAAAACCTAATTCTGAGACAGGGTCCATAAACTTGGCAGACTGCCATAGAGGACTGTGACACAAAAAAGGCTAAAACCCCTGGGCTCAAGGATCTCTCAGGCACTTCCATCTCTAAAGATAAAGAGAATACATATGTTGTTAATGGGAAAGATTTTGCCTTTGAGTATTATTTTATTTAACTTAATCTGTACATTAGGCAGCTTACCCGACTTCAGCTGATGTTGTACGTCTCGGTTTCCATCCTCAGAAATTCCAGTAAGTGCTGTTTTACTTAATTTTAAAAAATAATGCTGTGTACATAATTGCAATTTATGTAGTAGTTAATGCTAGGAGAACTAAGTAGCTCTTTGCCTGATTAGAATTTTTATTATACATAATTTCAAATCACCAGACATATTTTAATTGATATGGTATTCTGACAGCTCTTTTAGAGAAACCTGTTTCAGTTTAGTTGCTAAGAAATGGCTTATAATTCAGAAGGAAGAGAAAATGTCACAAACTATGCAGTATGGTGACTATATCTTTCAGGAGTGACGAATATGATATTGAAATTAGTCTGTGTCTTGATTATATTAGTATACTGAGCAATATTTTTATTCTGTCCTTCTTAAATTACTTTTTAAAAGGGGATCCCTTCATGTTTATGGAGTGCATTTTAATGCAGTCCTGTAATTCACATTCAACCAAAATGAAAATACATCATCTTCAAAATTATTGATATGCTTCCCCCCTTCCCTCCCTGTTCTCTCATGTCCTCTTCTCCCCACCACCTCATCTCTCCCTCCACTTTCCCCTCTAGGTACACTGTGGATAATAATGTCTTAACCCTAGAACAGAGGCAATTTTATGAGGACAATGGTTTCCTGGTCATAAAAAAACTAGTGTCTGAAGCAGATATTCAACGCTATAGGTACAGTACAGCCATTTTATTTTATTTTTTAATACTATAACACAAATGGAATAAAGATTACTAACATTAGTTTGTCTAGGGTTTCTGAGGCTTCTTTATGGCTTGGGCTTTAAGCATTTAGTGGGAGGACATGTCTCTCAGTAACACCACTGTAGGTACTTTGTCAACAATATCTTCGGGCATTTTGGCCCTGGTGGTGAATTTCAGTCCTGATTCTGTTAAATGATTGTGACAGCAGAGGGCAGCAAAGTCATCCACCATTTTCTTTTCCAATCTTGGTAGCATTTCTTTTTGGGTTTGGATACAGATAAGCTATAGGTGAAGAGATCTTTGAAGGCCCCTTGAAAACTTCCTAAATGTGTCTACTGAAATGGAATCCTTGAGTGGATGCAGTCAATAAGCAGTGCTGCGCTGTTAAGATATCAATTCTGTGGTGTTCCAAAGGATGATGTCATCTTTAATTTGATTTGTCCAGGGCCCAGTTTGAAAGGATCTGCAGAAAGGAAGTGAAACCCCTAGGATTAGACATCATGAAGGATGTGACCATCGCAAAAATAGCCCTTTCTCCACATGAGAATATAACTACAAAAATCCAGAATTTTCAGAATGATGAAGAACTCTTCAGTTATTGCACCCTGCCTCAGGTTAAAAGCTTTGCCTTGTTTTGTTTTTATTTTTAAAAAAACCTACAGACTTTATTTTTTAAAATGACAGTTGTCTTGCTTACAACTTTTGTGATCTATTATTTTTTCCTAGCGCCGAAACCCTTTACACCTATGGCCCTAGACTTCATTAGTGCTGGGAGAATGTTCCATGGTGGAGGGAAATGGAGACTTTTTTACTTATGTTAAGTTGAAGACTAGTGTGGTATTGTGGAAAGTATACTGGACTTGGGATGAGGAGTAACCTAGATTGGAGTCTCAGCTGCCTCACTTACTAGCTTTGTGCTCAGTCTCCCTAAGCCTTGTTTTCTTCTTCTGTAAAATGGAGGAAATAATACTGGTACTTCCTTTCTCACAGGAACGGTGTGGGGGGAAAAGTGCTTTGTAAACTTTAAAGCACTGAAAGCCCAGGTTTTATTATTGATTTCGGGACTTCCCTAACTTTCCAAATACTGTCCCCAGAGGAGGGAAAAAGGATATGTTTTGGCTTGAGTAAGCATGATTAGCCTAATATTTGCTATGAATTTAAATTTTTAAATTTTTAATTAATTAATAAGCATTTATTTTCTCTCCCTCCTCATTTCAAAAAGAAAAGCAAAACCCTTCTGACAAATATGCATAGTCTAACAAATCAAATTCCTTCATTGGATGTCCAAAAAATTGTGTCAAAAAAAAAAATGTATGTCTCATTCTGCATTTTGAGTCTGTCTTCTTTCAGTCAGGAGATCTTCCTGTGAATTGAAACCAGAATGTCCATTGACACGTCACTCAGCCTTGGTTAGCCTGAATTCCTCCTTCCATAAAATGTGGATAATACTATTTATTTTACCTATATCACAGGAGTGTTGTCAGGAAAGGGTTTTAGAATCCTTTAAGTTCCCCATCACTCGATAAGCATTTGTTAGGTATGTACTCTATGTCAGAAACTGTGCTCGGCCTAAGGATTCATAAACAGACAAAAAGGAAACAGTTCTTCCTCTCAAGAAGTTTATCAGAGGAGAAAACATTTACATCTGCAAGTATATGCAAGGTAATTTTGGAGGGGGACAATAGCCACAGTGGCAGAAGAACTGAAGGAAACTCAGAAAGGGCCTCTTACAGGAGATGGCATTTGAGCTGAGTTTTGAAGGAAACTGGGGATTCTAAGAAGTAGAGGTTAGGAGAAATGCCATTGTCATAATAATGAGAAGTCATTAATGGTAGTGTAAAATACTCTTTGTCTGGGGTAAAGAACAAAGCAACACAGATCTAAACTCCAGCACATATCAGAGTTGTGCAACCCTGATACTTTGTTATTTGCTCAGAACTATCTTTATTTTTTTAATCAGTTGATTGTACTCTTCCTTCCTTCCCTCCCTCCTTTTCTCCTCTTACATTAGAAGATTAAAATAGATTTGGTTTTAGAATTTCATGATAGCTTTTAGAATAACTGGAGACCAAGTCTGTCTATTACTGGGTAAAGACTGACAACAGTAATTGCTCCACTCTGGCTTGTTCCCAAAATGGACTTAAAGAAAGTTCCTTGTTTTGTGCCATCACCATCTTGTGTAACCAGCTTAAGAAGAACCTTGTGTCATTAAAAAGGGTTAAAAAGTAAAACTACAACTGGTCAGAAATGGAATAAGAAGAACCAGGAAAACAACATGTGAATGAAAAGATTAACAAGTAATTATGCATTATGATGTGCTAATGGTTTAATGATGGTGTTTAAATTATGCCTTAGCAACAAAACAATTGAAACTCATTTTGTCATCATTATTTAATTTTGTGTTATGTAATTCTATATTCAGGGCAGCTAGGTGGCGCAGTGGACAGAGTGCCAGGCTGGGAATCAGGAAGACTCACCTTCCTGAGTTCATATCTGGCATCAGACACTTACTAACTGTCTGACCCTTGGCAAGTCACTTAACCTTGTTTGCCTCAGTTTCTCGTCTGTAAAAATATGCCAGAGATGGAAATAGCAAACCATCAAAGCAAACCCCAAATAGGGTCATGGAGAGTTGGACATGATTGAAATGACTGAACAGCAACAACAATTCTATATTCACTATATAATTATAATGACTGAGTTTGTCCCCAAAGAAGTGATATGAGACGACACTTCTCCCATATTCTGCAGAAGTGGAAGACTGTGGGTGTGATATGCTGTGGATCATGTCAGACTTTCTTACTATCTTATTTAGTTGTTTTATGCATTTTTTTTCATTCTTCATACCTTATTATAAGGGACCAATCTCTAGAATGAAGTAGAGAGAAGGATACAGTGGGAAATAGGTGATATAAAAACAAAAGATGTGAATAAAAATTTATTCTAAAAAAGGCAATAATTCTTTTCCCTTCCTGCCTATTTTATTTCAATTTTGAGTTCTTTTTTGAAGCCTTGCTTATATCACCTATAGCTAGTCAAAGAAGTACAGAAATGCATCCTAGAGCCAAATAAACATTTTGGGAGGAATAATTTTTTTTTTATTGGGACTTGAAATCCACTTCAAACATTTACAAGCTGTGTGCCCTAGCAATGGAGAGAAGGCTTTGCTTGGAGTCAGGAACACCTGAGCTAAAGTCCTAACTTAAACACTTATTAGCTGTGTGATCCTGGATAAATCACTTTATTTCTCTCATTTTCCTCATTTATTAGATGAGAGAGTTAGACTCTGGCTTCTAAGATCGCTTTCAGATCTAAATCTATGATCCTAAGTCATTCAGATTCTCTGAGAGTTAGTTTCTTCATCTGTAAAATGGGAATAATAATAGAATTTACCTCACTGGGCTGTTGTGAGGAGCCGTAAAGAACCATAGAAATGTGGGCTACTGACGTTGTTGTTTTGGATTTAATGCAGAGAGTTGAAACTTAACTCTGTGCTATGATCTATGCCTTTAGTTTCTCATGAGCTTTTTCCTTTCCCTATCTCAGATTGTTAAATATGTCGAGTGTTTCACTGGACCCAATGTCATGGCTATGCATACAATGCTGATAAACAAGCCTCCAGATTCTGGTAAAGAGCTTTTATTTACATTAAGGGCTAGTTGGTGAGGGACCTGTGGAATGGGGATCAGGAAAGATATACTGGTTGTATTATAAAAATTGAAGTAAAATCAACATCCCGGCCTACACCCATTGAAGCAGTCAGCCCTAACAATTAGTAATTTGGGGGCATATGTGTATCCTTTTAAATACAATTTAAAATTACAATTGTTATAAAATCAAAGTGTGACAGTCTCAGATATTTATTTGTCCATGGCTGCTATTACTTCCTTAGGTTTCATAGCACTGGAAGTACTTATCTAGCCCACTCATTTGATCTCTGATTTCTTTGGGATAGATGCTGCTTCCAATCCAAGGCAAGATGACAATGTTTAAATAACTTCATAGGGCTTCAGGAGAATTCTAGTAGCCAAAAACCTGTCCTGTGACTGACCTAGTGAGGAGGCTTGCTAACCCTAGCTAGGCTAGTCCCTGGACCCTAGACACATGGGATATCCCTTAGGCCCATACTCAAAGGCTTTCATGTTTTGATAGCACTTGTCAAAGCCTGTTCTCCATTGGCATTGCTTTTTAGAGCCGAGGCTCCTGGCCACACTATAATGAGGCATTGGAGTAGGTCGAAAGTAGAAGAATAGATCATGTTCCACTGCTATTAATAACCTAGCCTTTTAGAAGATGGCTCAGAGAGTTATAAGTGACCAGGCAAATCCTCACCATAGGGGCTCTCCAAGGACTTTGAGGCTGAGGGTAAGCTTAGCCAAGGGCGAATCCAGAGGCAGGTTCAGTGGGATTTGTGTATGAAATCAAAGTGTGCAACATTACTGACCACAGCTTATGTGCCTCCCCATCAAATCACATTCTTCTGAAATCTGGTGGGGCCTGGCCACATTTTCCTAATCAGCATCTTATTGTCATATCTGGTATTTGAAGTCAAGTCTCATTGAAAGTCCTCCAGAATACTTCACCTTCCAAGCTGCACTGATTGTTATTCCCATGATTATATTTCTTTATATTTTATATTTTTCTAGGATACATATTTCTTTATAATACAAACTCTTTACAGGAGTGAATATTGGCTGTTTGTGTAGGGAAAGCTGAGGAGTTCTGAGGCTAGAGCTTCTTCTAACATATGGGTTGGGTTCCGTTCCAGGTAAGAAGACTTCTCGCCATCCCTTCCATCAGGACCTGCACTACTTTCCATTCAGGCCTCCCAATTCCATTGTCTGTGCTTGGACTGCCATGGAACATATTGATAGAAACAATGGCTGCCTGGTTGTGTTACCAGGCACACACAAGGGCTCCTTGGAACCACATGACTATCCAAAATGGGAGGTAGGTCTGACTATTGAGAGCATGCAAAAATAGAGCAAGAGAGGTTAATAGAATTTTTTTCTTATAAGATATTTTTCTTTGAAAAGACATGACAAGTGAAAGGCCTTTCTTGGACCAAAGCATTATTCTGTATTTTGAAATTTGGAGAAAGAGAAGACATTAGAAGACTAGTATTTTCTCATTCTAAGTCATTGGTTTGATTTATTTTACTTCTTCTAAGTCTAAAACATGGTTTGTTTTGTATTCTAGGGGGGAGTTAATATTATGTTCCATGGTGTCCAAGACTATGATTTAAACCAACCCAGAATTCACCTTGTGATGGAGAAGGGAGATACTGTTTTTTTCCATCCTTTACTCATTCATGGATCTGGAAGAAATAGAACTGAAGGGTTCCGGAAGGTAACAAACAAAAATTTCCCTTCTAACTATAAATAAGTTTGTAAATCAAATTTTAAAATAGCATTCCAAACCTATGTGAACTCTGATTATAATTACAAAGTATCAATAAGTGAAGATTTTAGTCTATTTTATTAACAAGGAAGCTTATTCCCTTACTTTTATCAATAAAGAACCAATTTCTATGTATGCCTCATTGATCAACAGACATTCATTTCCTCAGAAAAAACTGCTTACTTTATTTTTGTTTTGCATTTAATATTTGGTATATGCTGCGAACAATACATGACATCATTGCCAAAGCATAACAACCTAATCTGGAATTTTTATAGGACCTTACTACCTCTCCTGCACTCTGTGGTCTAGTCCAATTCGCCTTCTCTCTGCTCCTCACACTTGACATTCCATCTCTCATCTTTGCCTTTGCATGGATTATTCTCCATACCTGAAATGCACTCCTTCTTCACCACTGCTTCATAAAATCCCTCTTCCTTCAAGATGTAGAACAAACATTATCTTCTACATGAAGCTTTCTCTGAACACCCCTTCCTCCAACTGCTGCTGCTGTCCCTGTCAAACTACCTTCTATTTGGCTAATTTGAATTTTGTTCTTTATTTGTATTTATTTCATATATATATATATACATATACATACACATACACATGCACACATACACACACACACACACACACACACACACACACACACACACTTATACAAGGCATCCCAAAAGTCTTAGTACAGATCTTAAAACTGCACTAAGAGTTTTGGAACATTCTATATACATTCTTCTTGTTGTCTGTCCTGTTAGACTGTAAACTACTTGTGAGAGTATATTTGCATTCCCAGTGCCTGGCATAGTCAGTCAGTCAGGAAGCATTTCTTAAGTACCTACTTTGTGCCAGGCCCTGTGCTAAGGTAGGGATACAAAAAAAAAAAAGGCAAAAGACAGTCCCAGCACACAGTAGATACTTAATCAATACTTGATTGATTCTTTGACTTGGGCAGCTTCAGTGGACAGAACCAAAGACAAAAAAGAGGGCAGTGTCTTTCTCTAGTGCTCTAAGAGATCTGTGTGGGTACCCTCCCTCTCCAACAATGTAGACTTGCAACTCCTCTGATTTTCTGTGGTCAAAAATAATTTATCATCTCATTTATCACTTAATTCATTACTGGCCCATTTTGTGGCTGGTGAGCTTCTCTGAGTTTAGCTCTAGACTGGTCCTCAGCCAACCTCTTCCTGACTCCTTATGTGAAATTTTTCTATCTTGTACTCTCTTGGTATGACCTTCAAGAACCCCAGGGTCACATCCATACCACAATAAGGCATCAGAGTAGGACTTAACTATCTTTACCATGGTAAAAAGGTGTTTTTAATGCCAACTAGTGCCTAAAGTTCCATGAATAACCCTTGCTGTAGGTCTCTGAAGCATTTCTGGCAGAGAGGAAATTCACTCTGAAGGTTGTGATTACTCTCATGACACTATGAAGAATTCTCATAATGTTCTAGTTTAACTGCAGTCACTTGGATTTGGATTCCCATTTCCATTTTCTAGGTGCAGGCGAGAGTTCAAAATTTGTATTTATTGCTGCCAGAGAGAAGCAATCATTAGTATGTGTTGATTGTAACAGAGCTTTAAGTATTTCTTTAATCTGGTAGCATGTTTGTTATTTTCCAATACAGCACCTTAATTATACTATTATCCTTATTACCTTTTGAAGAAATAATCTATTATAAACTCAGTGAGATAACTTCTATGGCTAAGAGGATAATAATTTTGGAGATGGAAGGGGATTAGGGGCCATCAAGGCCAAACCTTCTTATTTTGCAGATGAGGAAACTGAGGCTAGACAGTTGTGACTTCCCAAGGTCACTCAGGTGGTAGGTGGCAGAGCTAGGATTCAAACCTAGAACCTCTGAATCCAACAATCTTCCCACTGCAATAAGCCATAATTCAAAAATAAAACAAATACTTATCAAACGCCAGCATTGTACAGGCACTGTGCTCAGTATTTGAGAATCCAAAGACAAAATAAAACAATCCCTGCCTTCAAAGAGCTTACATTCTCCTGCTAAGTGTTTTAAGGAGATAGATGAATCTTTTGAAGATTGAGAATACTGAGCCAATGAAAAATGTTAAGAATACCCAAGTTGTGTGAATAGTTACCCAACCCTTTCAGTTCTTTTTGGGGAAAGAATGGGTGTAGTTTAGAACTGCATGTGCTTTTAAAATTCCTCTGCAGGGACAGGCTAAATCATAGTCCAAGATAGAAGCGAAGTACTCAGTTGTGTAATTCATTTATTGACCCTCAGGGCTAGTGATAATTGGATTTCTTTTTATATCAATTGGCCCAATTTATACAGGCGATTTCCTGTCACTATGCCAGTTCTGATTGCTACTACATTGATGTGAAGGGTACCAGTCAAGAAAACATTGAGAAGGAACTCCAAGTCATAATAGAAAAAAAGCATGGTGTGGCCAATGTCGAATTAAAGGTAGGTCTGTATGAAATGAAAAGGTGAAAAACTCTGGCCTTATTTCTCTTTTTAAAAAATGAAAAGTAGTTCCTGATGGTATTTAATTTAGATATAGGTAGACCCTGCATTAAATTGCCCTGTCCTTTGACAATAACATTGGTAATACATTCTAATGCCAAATCTAATTGTCATGATGGAAGAAGAATGATGTAAAGTGATTTTCTTGGAATAGTTTTTAACATTGTTCTAATGGAAGTGGAAGTACAGTATAGTCGGTAGAGAGCTGCTCTGGAAACCAAAAAGACCTAGGTTCTATCTAGTCCTGTCTCTGTCATCTACTGGTTATGTGAGTTCAGGCAAGTCCCTTAGCCTTTCAATGTTCTAGGTAACTCTCTAAGACTGTAAGTTGAGAGAAGAAATTGAGTTGCCTTGGTAGAGGGCGTTTCCTCATCTGGAAGTTACCTGTACCAATGAAATCACAGGTTTATTTCCAGTCCCAGCCTATGGAACTAACTGCCCCCTGTAATGTTGTTTCACCTGACTTATGTTTTTCTCACTCCCATCTGCCTCTGCCTTAAGACTTTTCCCAAGTCTCTTTTCAGCTCTGTCCTACCCTTTCCATTGTAACCTCTGGAGCATTCATTCAGTCATTAACAAACTTCCCTTCAGCAAGATACAGTTTCCTTTCTTATCTTTTTAAATTAGATCTGTTTTTGCTTTTGCTTTGTCTGAGATCAGGATTGCTACCCCTGCTTTTTTTGTTTCAGCTGAAGCATAATAAATTGTGCTCTAGCCCCTTACCTTTTCTCTGTGTGTAACTCTGTGTCTCAGATGTGTTTCTTGTAAACAACATATTGTAGGATTCTGGTTCTTAATCCATTCTGCATTCTAGATTTTTTTCTTCTCGTGTTCCTCTCATGTTCTACCACTAATGGAGACCTGGCTCATTACAGAAGATACTACGTTCCTGGCAACCCTCTCTAGTAATGATAATAACAGCTAGTATTTCATATAGCCCTTTAAGCTCATACATTATCTTATTTGATCTTTGCAACAATCCTCTGAGGTAGAAAGGTTTTATTATTGCCCCATTTCATAGCTGATGAAACCGATGCTGAGAAAATTTAAATGATTTGCCTAAGATCACACATTTGATTAAGTATCTAAGGCAGGGTTAAACTCAGGTCTTCCTTGCTTCAAATTCAGTGTTCTATCCACTGTGCCATTGAGGTACTACCAAGTATTGGATGTGCTTTCTGTCACATGCACCAGCACGAGGAGCTAAGAAGAGGAATAGGCAAATTCCTTGCTCCTCACTTCCATTTTTAGACCCTCTCTTTACTCAGCAGTCTCCTCACTTTGAGGTTTATTCCATCTACCCTATGTCACCCCATCTAATCCTTCCTGTTGTTATCAAAAGCCTCCCTCCTTTCTCAAGGAATTCATTATCTGAATCACAGATTCTTCTTCATTCCAGCCCCCCTTTAAACTTGGGGACTTCAGTATGCACAAACACTCTGGCCTTCTGGTTCATCAACCCGCTCAGTTTTCTGTCCTGTATCCCTACTCCACCTACTGAGGTGGTCATACCATTGATCTTATCCTTAACCATGACTGTGCTGTCTTCACAATCAAGAAGACTAAAATTTCTCCATCTTATCAAAAGCCCCTATCATTCCAACTCTGCCTGCATTTGTTTTCCTAAAACTATTCTTCATCCTCGCTAGAACCTTTAGTCCCTCTGTCCCTCTTTGTATTAATTATCCCTCCTTTGCTTTCACTTTCTTCTCTTCATTGTTGCTCCTATGGTTGACTCTTCACAATGTCTGCTTTATCCTTCTTTGGTTGTGGTCCAGTGAAAAGATCTCTGGATTTAGAGTTAGAAGACCTGCCACTTAATATACTTACTACCTCTATGGTTTTGGGCAGATTATTTCATCTCTCTTGGCCTCTGTTTCCTCATCTTAATACAAGCAGGTTGGACTAGATGAACCTTAAGTTCCTTTTTAACTCTTGACCAAGTTAGAATTTATTTTCTTTACTAACCAGTACAGCTATTCAAGAATTTAAACTCTTTCTGTTGGGGATTATTTTTAGGATGCTTGGATGATGCGAGCACGGCTTGTGAAAGGAAAAAGAATCAATCTTTGAAGTATTCCTCAAAAGTCAACACCAGGTGCCTATGGAGAATGTTATTATATGACATGTAGTGATCCTTGTTATCACATACTAATATGAAAAAGCACTTTGTTGTATGCAGTATTGTCTGCATTGCTTTTATACTGTTTTGGCAATACAAAGACTAAAAGATGTAAAGTATAAAAAGCTTAACTTAGTGTCACACCTGATAAAAATGCTTGTGTAATTTCGGAGTAATCCAAGTCTTCAAAAAAGGGGGGGCACCTCTTAGCCAAAAGAAAACCTACCGAGTTCAGAATCTTTGTAATTATAAACTATGTAGGTGCCAATAAAAAATTATGGCTGATTGTTTTCATTGTTAGAGGAAATCTATTGCAGGTGCTTCTTTAGGGAGACAAAGGCTAAGAGCTTGTTCTAAGCAGGTAGTTCTTTAATCAGTGGAAGATTGTGGAATAAAGTAAAGACCTGCCTCATTCCACAACTGACTTGTATTTCTTTTACTTCCACATATATTCCTCCCCTTTACTTCCCCCAGGGAGCCATTTTATGTAACAAAGAATAGAAAAGAAAGAAGAGGGGAAAGGCAGTTAAGTAAAACCAACAAACACATCAACTGAGTGACAATATATACAATTTCCCGTATTCATAGTCTCCCACTTCTGCAAAGAAGGGAGTGAAGTTCTTTTTCCTCAACTCTTGTAGGCTTAAGCTTGATTATTTTAATTATATAGCATTCAGTTTTGGGTTTTGATCTTTCCACTTACATATACAGCATTTTAACTATTGTGTATATTATTTTGGGGAGGGGGTGCTAGTCTTTTGGGGTTAAGTGACTTGCCCAGGGTCACACAGCTAGTGTCAAGTGTCTGAGGCTGGATTTGAATTCAGGTCCTCCTGATTCCAGGGCCAATGGTCTATCTACTGTGCCACCTAGCTGCCCCTTGTGTATATTATTTTCCTGATTCTACTTGCTTTGCTTCAGTTCAATCACTCAATCAGTTCATAAAAGTTTTTACATTCTACCTTAAATTTTTTATATTCATTAACAATATCATATTTCATTAGTGTCACATAAAATCATTATCCCTATGTTTAGCCATTCCCTCAAGTGATGAATATCTACTTTGTTTCCAGTTCTTTGCTGCAACAAAAAAATTACTGCTACGAGTAATTTTGTATACCTGGAGCATTTCTTTCTGTCGTTCTCCTCCTTGGACTATGTGCTTAACAGTGAGATTCCTGGGTCAAAGGATATGGAGATTTTAGATACTATCTTATTCTAATTTCAATTTTTTCTTCCTGAATGCTTACCCAAATTCACAGCTCTGTCAACAGTGTATCACTGTGTCTGTTTTCCATAGCCTCTCCAACATTGTTGCCATTATCCAAGATCTATATCTATCATTTGTCATTTTTGACAATTTGTTGTTAATGAAGTGATACTCCAGAGCAGTTTAGATTTAAATTTTTCTTATGAGTAGTTTGGAGCATTCTCTCATATAGTTGTTAATAATTCTTTTGAGAACTATTTGGCCATATCCTTTGACCACTTTTCCAGTGGGAAGTGGCTCATAATCTTAAATATTTTTGTGCATTACGTATATACCTTGGATATTTGAAATCAGTTTTATCAGTAAACATCTGCACATTATGTATAACATCTGGTAGTAGAACACAAAGTCACCAAGATTGTCTTCCTTGAACATTAGGCCCTTTGGCATTGCAACTTCAATTAGGATATATGTACCTCTGAATAAACATAAGTAAAGAATTTTGAAGCAAAAATTGTTGACAGCTGGGATATGCCTAAATTGTTGACAGCTGGGAAACAGCTATTTGTGTCTCTCTTTATGCTGTGAGTTCTGGGCTGCCTCAATGTGAATAAAAGCGTGTCACCTCAGACTGAAGTTGAAAGAGGTTCTGGAGGATGGAGATGGCTGACTGCTCAGGTTGCATCTCTATGGTAGCCCCCAAGACCTTCCTTTTTTTTTTTTTTGGCCTTTGTTATAATAGACTGTTGTTTCTGCTCTAGACGTGCCTTATTTTCCCTGCTTCATGACAATGCCCTTTCATTTCTTTTGCAACTTTTCATATCCAGATTCTTTCATACTAGAAATGTCCAACATCCTAGTCCAATTGTGTCAAACCCAAATAGAAATGAGATCACTAAACCATACATAAGAATCCCTGTGGATTACCTAGTGACTTAGTTTAAAAAATAATATTACTTTTGTAATATTTAGTTATATAATATTTTATTGTATTTTTATTTATTTTCTTTACTTCCCAATTACATTTTCATCTGGTTCAGCCCACACTCAGGAGAGTTGTGGACAAGATGTGCAAAGACCATATACTTGCTCTGTCCTACTCAATCAATGGAAATTTCCTGCCCATGGCATGGAAATATGGAAACTTGGAAAACAGTTTGGCAAAAACTAGGTGTGGGCCAACATCTCATACCATATACTAAGATAAGGTCAGAATGATCCATGATTTAGACATAAAGGGTCATACTATGGGCAAATTAGGAAAGCATGGAATAATTTACCTGTCAGATCTATGGATAAGAAAAGAATTTGTGATCAAACAAGAGATAGAGAGCATTTTGAGATGTGAAATGGATAATTTTGATTATATTAAATTAAAAATGTTTTTGCACAAATAAAACCAACAAAATTAAAAGGAAAGCAGACAGCTGGAAAAATATTTTTAGCAAGTGTCTGTGATAAAGGCCTCATTTCTCAAATATATAGAGAACAGAATCACATTTATAAGAATACAAGTCATTTACCAATTGATAAATGGTCAAAGGATCAGTTTGCAGAAGAAAAAATCAAAGCTATGTATACTAATATGAAAAAATGCTCTAAATCATTATTTATTAGAGAAATGCAAATTAAAACAACTCTGAGGTACCCCTTCACACTTATCAGATCGGCTAATGTGACAGGAAAGGAAAATGATAAATATTGGAGGGGATGTGGGAAAATTGGGACACTAATGCACTGTTGGTGGGGTTGTGTAGTGATCTAAGCATTCTGGAGAGCAATTTGGAACTACACCCAAAGGGCTATAAAACTGTGCATACACTTTGACCCAGCAATTCCACCAGGTCTGTATCCCAAAGAGATTTTTTTAAAGGGGAGGGTGGGAGGACCTATTTGTACAAAAATATTTATAGCAGCTGGCCAAGAATTGGAAATTAAGGGGATTTCCATCAATTGGGGAATGGCTGAACAAGTTGTGGTGTATGATTGTAATGGAATACTATTGTGCTATAAGAAAGACCTGGAAAGACTTACAGGAACTGATATAGAGTGAAGTGAGCAGAACCAGGAAAACATTGTACACAATAATGGCAATATTGTACCAGCTTTCAAACTATATAACAAAGTGGTAATCATCAAAACAATCTGGTACTAGCTAAGAAAGAGCATCGTAGATCAGAGGAATAGATTACACAGCTGTAAATGATTATAGTAATCTAGTGTTTGATAATCCCAAAGTTCCAAACTTTTGGGATAAGAAATCACCATTTGACAAAAATTGCTGGGAAAACTAGAAAGAAGAAACTAGGCAGAGATCAACATCTTGCACCATATACCAAAATAAGGTCAAAATGGATAAATGATTTAGGCATAAAGGAAGATATCATAAGTAAATTAGGAGAACATAGAAAAATGTACCTGTCAGAACTATGGGTAAGGGAAGAGTTTATGAATAAATGAGACAGAGAGGATCATGGGAAGTAAAATGCATAATTTTAACACACTACCAAGATTAGGAGGAAAGTGGAAGGGGGAAAGTTTTTTTGTCTTTTTTTATGCAAGCATCTGTGATAAGGGCCTTATTTTTCAAATATATAGAGAACTGAGTCAAATTTATAAGAACACAAATTGTTTCCCAATTGATATATGGTCAAAGGATATGAACAGGCAGTTTTCAGATGAAGAAATCAAACCTATTTATAGAAATATGAAAAATACTCTATATCATTACTGATTTGAGAAATCCAAATAAAAACATTTGAGATACCACCTCACACCTATCAGATTGGCTAACGTGACAGAAAAGGAAAGTGACAAATGCTGGAGGGGATGTGGAAAAATGGAGACACCAATGCACTGTTGGTAGAATTGTGAACTGGTCCAACTTTTCTGGAGAATAATTTGAAAGTATGCCCACAGGGCTGAAACTATGCCTACCCTTTGATCTAGCAATACCACTACTAGGTGTGTATCTCAAAAAGATAAAAGGAAAAGAACCCATATATACAAAAATGTTTATAGCAGTTCTTTTTGTGGTAATCAAGAGTTGGAAATTGAGGGGATGTACATCATTTGGGGAATAGTTGAACAAATTGTGGTAGATTGTGATGGAATACTGTTATACCATAAGAAATAGCAAGCTGTCCAGGATTGCCAGAGAAAACTTCCGTTAATACTGTAAAGGTTCTGAGCCACAGAAAGAGAAAGGGCTAGCAGCACCAAGGGTCATGAAGGATGAGAGGCATGACATCTGAATGGGCCGTGTCAGGTTCATAGCATTAAGGGATGGGGCCAACTGCAGGCTCTGAACCATGTAATAAATGTTTGGTGACCGACTGACAAAATGTATAGTACTCTAGCTGTGGTGAGTACTCTAGTATTCTAGATGTGGTCGGACCAGGACAGAATACCAGCCTCAGGCCCATCTTCTCTATTGTTCTGGGCACTTTGCCTGCCAAGGCAGCCCAAGATAAACATTCATTTCTTTGGCTGTTACACTGTTGACTTATATAACCTTGTAAGACATTAACTACTTCCACCCTCAAGCCTAGATTTTTTTCATATGAATTCTAGCTAGGTTTCCTCTATCTTGTACTTGTGTAGCTGATTTGTTTTTAACCTAAGCATAAGACTTTATCTATACTAAATTCCATCTTAATCTGAAACTCCAGTTTTTAATCGGCCTCAGCTTTTCTAGTTCTTTGCCTGATCCCTCTAAGGCTATGAATAATTAAGTTGTTAATTTATAGACTTCCAGTTATTTATCTCCATTGCATTGAGATTCTAATCTCATTCCCAACTTTCCTTGAGGGTGAAAGTATTATGCACTCACATATAGAGTATATTTACAAAAGCAGAATTAAAATTGACAGCGTGGGATTAGTGTTATCAAGCAGAGGAACTCAGCTTGGGAGACCTGAAATCTAGTTGCCCATATCCACAAAGTTTCCTCTTAACCTTCCCCTTAGTTTTACCTCAGTTTCCCTTTCTTCACCTAGTTTTCCCCAGACAGTTGCAAATAATATATTATAAGGGATCACCATACAATACCAGTAAACCAAAATGTTTTGATCTTAAAGGCCAAGGGTGTGCGACAGCTTCCATTTCTGCTGACCAAATCCAACTTTTTTGATGTTCCTCATGTAACCCATGTAATCCTGCTTTTGAGCATGTCCAATTTATCTAACGTGCCTCTTACTGTGTCCAC